GGGCCCTAATGTTAGGGGGGGAGGGGGGGGGGCCATTATTAAAGAGGGTCCAACATTACGCATGTAACTAGGCATGTAAGGTGGTGATTTTCATTGCTTATTAAATTAAATCAACAATCAAAACACTAAACCAACAATCAACCTAAGATTTTGTTTTACTGGGAATATCCCCCCCGAACACTGCTAGCCCTTTGCAAGTGCAGCAGTATCACCCTAAGGGTCCAAGTACCCAATAATCATATACTTACCCAAAACCTATACTATAATTACTATCACCAATTTCCCAAGTACCTAAATATTGGGTACATGGACCCTTAGGGTCAAGTGAGCCCAGCATGTGGGCAGATGGCTGCACATGCCGTCGGAGTTGGACTCCGTAAGAGAGCAAAGCCTTGGCACGACGCGGAGAGTGCAGTTCTACTGGGTTTAGGGGTTTAGGGGTTTAGGGGTTTAGGGTTTAGGGTTTAGGGGTTTAGGGTTTAGGGGTTTAGGGTTTAGGGTTTAGGGGGAGGATCAAATCACTACAGCACCAGGACCCACAGACAACGCTGCTGAAGCACTGAACGATGAGCAGTACGGTGAGCAAGAAGGTGCTGCGGCCGATACATATGAGTAGTATTTCGTTTGGGGATACTATGGTACGCAATATAGAGTAAGATTGTATCCTCCCTTGGGGGTATAATATTTTATATAAGGAATACAATCTTACTAGGTTCAACCACTCAAAAAACACTACTCATATGAAGACTCCAGCACCTACGGCGGCATGATCCCGGACTATAAGGGTTCCGGGGGGTGATCAAAGATATGGCCGTGTCTGGAGGAGTTTGAATAGGACGGGCCATATTGGGTTTAGGGTCTAGGGTTTAGGGCCTAGGGTTTAGGGTTTAGGGCTTAGGGTTGCGGGTTTAGGGCTCAGGGTTTAGGGCTTAGGGTTTAGGGTTTAGGATGCACACAGGGGCCTGACTTTGACAAACTACCAGAAAGGAGCCATGAGAGATGTATATACAGTGTTTAGAGTTTGGGACGGTGTCTGGGCTTCCATCTTCGTTTGGGGGAGTGTAGAGTGTAGGATTTGGAGGAATGGGTTTTGAGTTATGGATTTTGGGTTTGAGGCGGATTTTAGGGCTTCTTTAGGGACTGTAGCTCCTGATCCAGAAAGCCCCCCAAACCCTGTGGACACTATAGCCCACAAACTGGGTCACCGTCAAGGAATTCAAATTAAGTTACTACAATTATACTTTGGGTATACAGTAAATAATACACAGTAGGGTTTCCTTGTTATACTAATTTAAATTAAGTTCCTTAACAGCAGTCCAGCAAAGTGAGGAATGTTCCCATTGAATTACTCCGCACGGCTGGAGAGCGGTTGCCCTTCGGACGTTTGCGGGGCTTCATGGCTTACCTAAGTTCCATGCATATGAGCTGTAGTCTAAACTCATTAAAGGGTGGCTAAATAGGTGATTATATAGGGAGTACTTTAGGGGTTAAACGGTTATAAAGGCGGATATTAGGAGTTCAAACAATTGCTGATCTGTCGGGTGGCTTGGTTGCGTCGGGGAGGGGAGGGAAGTCCTTGTTTCCTACATCATTCTTCTTGCGAGTAGGAACAGATTCTACACTAAAAGGGCTAAAGTTCCCAAGGCCCCTATTCAATACTAATTACCATTACAGTCGCAACTACAGGAGGCACCCTTCCTCATTGCGCGAAACGTCATTACCCCCAAAAGAGCTTTTCTCTAGTTTTTCACAGGGCACACTAGACATCATATGTCTGACCTATATCTTACTCAATACAGGGAGCTTTGACAACAGCATCCCTGCCTTGGGGAACCCTTACTACTTGTAACCTCTGTAAAGCAGGGCACCCCATGCTATCCTAAACCCCTAAACTGCAGCGCAGAAACTCCTATGTCTAAGGCACTTACAGGAGGGGAGTTACCATGTAGGGACCTCCTCTATATATCCTCTATATATAAAGTCTCGCCATTAAAAACCCTAAGCCCTAGACCCTTAAACCCTAAACCCTGAACCCTAAACCCTAAAACCCTAAAACCCTAAACCCTGTAGTTGGTCCTAACTATGAGGCTGTGCTTTGTCGGGGTTGGTTTCCTGGCTACAGGGCACTGAAGGCCAGCGGAGCGTTGGGCAGAGAGTGCAGGAGTTTAATGGTTTTTAGGGTTTAGGGTTTAGGGTTTAGGGTTAGGATTTACCCAGACCTCCGAAAGGATTCAAAAAAATGGAACCCCCCCAATATGAACCCATTACTACATTGGGGAAACTGAGGAATTATTAGGGGATTCCATTCTTGGATCCTTTAGGGGGTCTGGGTATTACTAAGTACCTATTACACCTAGACTTTTCATTGCTAATGAGTTAGTCTCAGCAGAAGATATTGCTAGACCATGTCAAAACTTTTCGTAGATCGGGAACAACATAGAAGCAATGAGACAAAATGAGAGGTTGAATTATACTGACTTGAACTTGCAGATGAACATAATGAGAGGATTGAAGGATTGACTGATGACAAAAGTAAGAACTAAAAGACGATTTGTTGTCAGTGGCTCAGGATTTGGTAGGCGATGGTTCAAGTGATACTTGGCAAATCAAGGTTGAAAGTCAGTTAAAATCAAGTAGAAGTAGAGAGTGGAGACGGATAGAAAGGTGAGGTGGCCGAGGAATGCTTAGGCAGTTCTCCGCAGGTGCAGGTTCAGCAGGTGTGGATGCCGCTATAGCAGCAGTACAAGACCAAGAAGTAAGTAAGGGAGCAGCGAAAGAAGCAATAAGTGAAATGGCAGGAACTCATTTTTGTATCTTATATTAGTGCGTAAACATTCAACTTGACATATAGAAAGACTGTCTAAAGAAAAGGAGAGCATCTGATGACGATATTTATGTTAAGAATATGCACAGCGCCGTCGGCATTATAGAGCATTTGCCGTATAACCCCTTTTTAGACACTACAGGATGTGACGTCGAAGTAATATCCGAATGTATTCAAAAGAGCGGAAAATGGAGTATCAGAAGGTTCCCAGTTTTGAAGGTATAGGGTGGATATTTGACAGCGGAACAGAGATGTTTAAGCACTACTAAACGACAGAAGAGATAAACATGACACAAGCTTTTAGGTATATGTTGAAACCAAACAGTAGATCATCGTCGTTGGAGCCGCCAGCAGCTAGTTCAATGCCTGCAGGTTGCCAAACAACATAACCCCTTGGGACTTAGCTTGGACCTTAGGCGCTGAACCCTTTGGGATTCCCGTATACTCCTATAAACCAGGGTGGCCCAGGGCGGGTCGCGTGGTTGAGGATTTAGTCTTTAGGGTTTGGGCCCGATGTGGGTTTTTGCGTAAGGGTCTTGGGTGGGTCTATGATATGGCATAGAAAAGGCCGGGCGGTGTTTCTAGTGGGAGTGTTGTGGGTTTGTGTGTAAGGGTTTGGGTTTGGGTCTATGATATGTCCTAGGGGTGGGGGCGCGGTGACAAAAATGGAAATGGCCATCTCTAATTCATTCACACCATAAGGCCCGGTAAGTCCTCAATTCCCAATAATGCCTATTGTTGGGCCCGTATAATGGGGAATGGGGGGGGGGCATAGTAACGGCATGATAACACGATTGAGAATTTTGGGTTCAGCTAGCATTGAATATTTCCCTTCTAGGTACGTAGGCCCAATTTAGGAATACCTAGATATCCAAAGTAGCCACAAAAATATCCTTCAACCTCAAGATAGTGGGTATACAGGCAAACATTCTGGGTATTTGGGAGTAGGTATGCCTTTTTCATTCCCAATACGGAATCCGAAGCCACAAGCGTTGAAGCGGCAGAAGCCCTGCAACCAAAGCCCCAGGCTTTCAGTGGTAGACGGCAAGTCATCAAGCCAGGCCCCTGGGAGGATCTAGAAAGTAGGTTTCCCTCAACGCGTCCAACAAGTTACATATTCGCGGTAAGTCTGGATATAGATGCTAAGCCGTCGAAGGTCCTCCACCGTACCCTAAACCCTAAACCCCTAAACCCTAAACCCCAGACTATGGATACTCAGTTTGGGAGGCCCTTGGTTGCAACCCAGGCACCCTGAGCCCTGAACCACTAAACGCTCTAGAGCTCGTAGATCCCTAACCCTTACAGCCTAAACTTCAAGCCCTACAAGCGCTCGAACCCCAGAACTTCAAACCTTAAATTCCTAAAGTTCAAACTTTTAACCCTTCATCCCGACATTGCATAACCCTTACAGAATCCCTTTAGAATTAACCCCTCTATGATGCCTGTAAGGGACCAAAGCCAACGTAGAGGCCTCGCTGCTCAACTATGCCACTGGCGGCCGTGGCCGGCGCAGTCGCACCGACACTAAGGCCTTGGCTTTCGGCTGGCACCTTTGATGATTTTGCGGGTTGCGGGGTATTGGGTGTTAGGGATTGGGCTTTAGATGGGATTCATGTAGGGGTTTGGGGCTTAGAGAGTGTAGGATTTATGTCGGTTGATGTAGCGGTTGAAGGTTTCGGGGTCGTGGGGGTCACGGGTTCATACAAAGCGGCCTATATGGGGCTTAGGCATAGGATTTAGGGCCTCTCTAACTCTAAGCCATAAACCCTAGATCTCTTTTCTTCTCCCCTATCTCTCCCTGCCCCGTCGCTCTTTCACGCACTCCCTCCTCCACTGGTTTGTAGTAGGGTAAAAGGGAGTAGAATCCCCATGTAATCCCAATATGATCCTTACATACTGTTATTATCATATTCCCTACTCTCTATCTCTCTCTCCCTACCCCTCGGCCACGTCTCTCTCTCTCTCTCTCTCTCTCTCTCTCTCACGTGTCTAGGAGTTCCAGGGGTTAAGGGCGCTTTCATTTCTCATGCGCTTCAGGCCGCTTTAGGTTTTAGAGTTTAGGGGCTCGTGGGCTTAGTCAATCAACATTGAGGGACTTGCTTCGCTTTTTGATTGAAGTCCTTCCCTCTTCAAGTGGCCCTGTGCTGCCAGCCTGCACATGGGAAAACTGACCCAACTTTGCTATTTCTGCCGCCTGAGGGTTCCAGAATTTGTGCAGGATCTAGGGTGCAACCTTGAACCAAGTTTGGGCCCGAGGAGGCCTTTGGGGTGTATCGGGGGTTATATTGGGAGTCTATAGGGATAATGGACAAGAAAATGGGAGCTACAGGAATTATAAGGGTTTAGGGTTACCTTTAAACTCTTTTTAACACTCTAGCAAAATTGGACAAACCTGCTTACCTAGGCATGGCTCAGCTAGCTTCACCTTCGCTGCTGTCAGGACGGGCGGTCCGGGGAAAATAGGGTTGCTGTTAAGGAACATAAATTAAGTTACTATATTGGGGAAGCCCTATTATTTATTATATATACCCATTATGGTAACTTAATTTAAGTTCCTTAACATCAACCCAGAAAATGGCTCAGCATTGGCCTTGTAGGGTTCAGATGATCGCATCTAGGGTTGAGACCTCCGGGTTGCCAGGCCTAAGCCCGAAAGCTTGAGAACCTAAATGCGTGTTTCCCAAAATTAGGGGTACCTTTTTGGGGGCCCCTATAATAAGGATTATAGTATTTTGGGGTCTATATTGGGGTCCCTAAATCCTACCTGAACCCCAAAAGTATGTAAAACGATTGCCTTTTGGGCTGTTGATAGTGGTTCAGGGCTATTATTTTACATACTTTGGGGGTCCAGGTAAACCCTAAACGGTTGGGAGATTAGAAGGGTGTTGCTCCTCATGTGCGAGGATTCCTGATTTATTCATTTGCGTTTGCGTGTTGGACCGTTAGGGTGGATCCAGGGTCTTCGAGCCCGTTCTGGCTTCACCCATCCCTAAACTCTCAACCCGAAACCCCAAACCTCATCCCTGAACCCGAAGCCCATTTCTTTAAGACCCGCCGAGGCCCGGGACCGGAATATGTAGAGGTTATATCAGTAATGTATCAGTTATATGAACCAGAGTCTATTTTCCTGAAAGGGGGTTATACAGGGGATTATATAGGGGAGTGGCATAGGGGTTGTTCAGGGGGATACTAGGAGTTTAGACTATCGCTCATATGTGGGTTTGCATGGCATTACTGTAAAAGCCTGAATGATTCCCGGTTGTTCCCCTACAGGCTTGACACCCTAAACCCAAAATTAGTACGGTAAGAGGATCTCGAGAAGTCCACTAATTAATTGGGCTCCTACATGATCGACCCCTAAACCCCGAACTAGCTGTTTTTTGGGGGATAACTGCTCATTTTCCCTATCAGTTTATGAGGGAACCTCTGTAAACAGTATTTCAGGGGCATGTAAAGTCCCACACTTATAGGCTATAGACCTTCAATCCTGAATCCTCCTTCGCTCAATACTGAAGCTTGGGCGCAAATTCGCCCAGAAGTTGGCAATCCCTGCGCATGCAGCACTCCAAATCCCCCAATCCCTTCGACTCAAACACAGCGCTCGAAGAATAGAACGCAATAACCACGAGCTGCTTTTGTCTTATCATTATTCTCATTGTTAGCATTATGTTTTTGTAGAAATTGGAAATACTACACTCCTGTGTCTTGGGGTTCACTAAATGCAATTGCTTAGGCTCTTCCATTAGGCCATAGGTTTGATTAACGTTAAGATCTCTGGGTGCAGCCCAACTCTCAACCGCCAACCATCCACGCGACACGTAGCACGTAATGCTTGAACGGATCCCACCAACGATGCTTATAATACCCATCCCTAAACCCTAAACCCTAATCGCTGGGCGACGCTATCCTAATGATATCTCATTTAAATCTAGGTTAAACTACACATGTCCGGTCCTTTAATTTTCTAGAAACCACCAAGACGTAAAAGCCTCAACCCCTGCCATGCTTCCACTTGCAGGATACTGACAGGGCGCCCGCACCAGATCAGGAGACTCAGCTGTTCAGTGACATGGAACCCTAAACCGTAAACACTTAAATCCCAGATGGGATGGGGATGCAGAGTCCAAGGTTTAGGGTTTAGGGTTCCTGCGCGTTGGGGGTCTTTTCGAATTTCTTAAAGAGCGAAATGCAAGAGAAGCTGGACAAGGAAATGGAAGCTGCGGCTGTGTTGGGTTTATTCTTGGAGGCATGGATGTCCTTACTTTAAACATTTGACAGTTTGGGAGTCTGTGGCTTTTAGTATGCTACCTCAAGCGCTAAGCCCCAAACTGAACCTGAGCCATGTATGAACCTCATAAAGCTTACACCCTAAGCCAAAAGAATGAATCACACACCTTTTTCCTTGGGTCTGATGATCGATGAGGAGGCACATGGCACACGTCGGTCATCCAATTGTCCACGCGTCTTGGCTGAGTTTTGGGCTTAAGGTTCAGGTTCTGGCTTCAAAGTACAGGGTTTAGCGTCTGAAATGTGGAAAGGGATTATGGGCTCCTTTTTGGTTATACGTTATAGTACGGCACCTAATCTTAGGGATACCAAAATGGGATCCTAAATTTGGGATCCCCCCACGGCTAGGATGTTGGTCGGGGTTTCGGCGTCTTGCCTTCTTTCCAACCCAAAGCTCTAAAAGTACTGCAGGTGTTTGGGGTTCCGGCAGACTTGGGCTCTCCAGGGGTTCGGCTTTGGGGTTTAGTTAGGGTTTTGGGTTGTAGGGTTTGGGGCCTAAGTGTAGGGTTTAGGGTGATGAGGTGACAATGAGGTGTGTTTCTTTTCGTTGATTCTGTTGCATGGGAAGCCGTCGGGGTTTAGGGCGGAGGGCGGTGATACATGTGGGTAGTCAGCAGTGGAGTATTTTCTTGAGGTACCATAGTCACCGTCACAACGAAAAATGCATCCTGGTTTGGATAATTACTGCCCCCACTCAGTAACAGTTGCCTAATATGTATAATTAGTTCTTGTATCAGCTGTTACTGGAATCAAGTCTTTCTTGGTTCAGACTCCAACCAGGCACTGATACCCCTAAACCCTAAACCCTGGACCTGAACCAGTTGGGACAAAATTGACAAAAGCAAGCCTTGCATGGCTGGCGAGCCGTACCGTGAAGGTCCAAGGCAGATTGCTTCAAAGGACTAAACGGGAAGCCCAGTTACCTTTCTAATCAGTTTAGGATTTGGGGTTCGGGGCTTGAGGCCCCCTAAGTGGGTTATTGTTCCCTAGTCACGAGATGATTCAGGTATGTTACCTACAACCCTAAACCCTAAAACCGCCAGTGAGGTACTCGGGTTTTATGGGGAAATAGGTTGAGTACTGCCCCCACTCTGTAACAGTTCGAGAACAATCACAAGGTGTACTACAGTCTAAACTCCTTTAAGGAGGTTCACATAGGTTTCAACATAGACCTTTATAGGGTTTATTAAAGGGGATACTCGGAGTTTAGACTGTAGGTCATATGGTTATATAAAGCATTGAATATGCCCCCGAATATAGACTGATACAGGGTGGGGGCAGTACCCAAGAAATAGGAATCACAACTGAAGCTTTGTAGGGGAATTCGTGGGGAGCCTTTGAAGGCAAGGCAGGGTTGGATTCAGGGCCTAACTAATAGGACTACCGTAGCCACCCCAATATGCAACTACCAAACCAGTAAGGGCTAATGAGCCCTAATAGTCACCAAGAGTCCCTCGTAAGGGGGCCCACAATAGACCTTAAACGCTAAACCCTAAACCCCACTCAGTGGCCCTCGGACTAGCAACGGAGCTGAAGACCCATATGGTGGCTCCGCCGCCATTCAAACTTTAAATCCTGACTTCAGCCTCCACTGACCATCACTTTCCGAGGATGCTCTCTACGCGAGCGCACCGACTTTCTCGGAAGATATGGCCCTTTGCCATCGGAATCTTGGCCGCAGTGCGATGCTGGGGGCGCAGTCTCACTTTGTGAGGACATCCTGAAGTCCAGAAGTCTAGAAGCCGCACAGAAACATAAGAACACAAGTTAATTTAAATGGCCTACTCCCTGTATCCACATCCTAAATGGTGTTGTTTCTGCTCTTGGGACTTGCTAGGGTAAGTCTTGGGGTCCTGCTTACCTCTCATGCACTTTCTGCATGTGGGTATCTCATACCTTCTCCTGAAATCCACCAAGCCCCTACCTCCGAGACCTGCCTGAAGCCACAGGAGCTATAGTCTAAACTCTTCAAAGGGGGGCTGTATAGGAGATTATATAGGGTTTTATGGGCGTTATTAAGGGGGATACTAGGAATTTAGACCCTAAGCCCCAAACCCTGTATTATTATAGGGGTAATTCAGGCGGATGCTAGGAGTTTAAACTCTGGCTCAAATAGCCGCGACCCTGGCATAGTATATTACGAGGATCCCCCAAAAAGGTACCCCTAATTTTGGGAAACCGCCCCATATAGGGATTTACGGCTTAGATAAACCCTAAACCTTGAAATATTATAGGGGCTCATAAAGGGGACGATGGCTCAAATAGCCCACCGAAACCCTATACTAGTTTCCATTTTATTTTGCATTATCCCAATGTCATCCCCATCTAGCCCCCTATAATCCCTATGTACTGTGGCTCAAATAAGCCCTAAACCTTAAAACCTAAGCCCTGTACTATGGCTCAAGCAGCCACATCTAAAAAATCCAGGAATTGGTTGCACCGCTATCGCTTGGCAGCGGCCTGAGCACCCTAAGCTCTCCTGCACGGCATTTGAGTCATGATGCTTTCGGGAGGTTTAGGGTTTAGGATTTAGGGTTCGTGGTCTAGGATTTAGGGCTTAGGGTTTAAGGTTTAGGGCATTCTCCCCCTATAATGGAGAATCCAATGGCAAAGAAAAGGGAAAATGAGCTGGAAACTGGGGTAATATAGGAATTCAAGGGCTTAGGGTTTAGACTACTACAGGGGACATTGGACATTTTGGAGGCTACCAGGAGTTTAGACTATGAATAATTTTGGGATGGACTAGCCCTAAGGGTCCATGTACCCAATATTTAGCTACGTGGGATATTGGTAATAGTAATTATAGTATAGGTTTTGGGTAAGTATATGATTCTTGGGTACTTGGACCCTTAGGGTAGGTTGAGATTTTGAGGCCAGTTCGTGCAATGAGCTGCTTCGAAGAGCAACGTATAACAAAGTTCCGAGATGTTGCGCATTGAAGCTGCTGGGTAAACACCCTAAACCCTAAACCTTTCCGGCGTATGCAGGGATGTGGGTGTCAGATATTCGCGTTGGAGGCTGAGAGTTGGATATTGCCCCACTCACGAAAATCATGAAAAGGTGGATAGAGCCTTGAACATGACCCCCATTTGTAAACATTTACAGTCCCCCTTAAGTAGATAGAATATGTCTTCGGGTATATTATAGTTGGATCCCCACATAACCCATATTCTACCTACTAAAGGGGGACTCTAATGGGTGGGGGCAGTTGTGAAGTTGAGTGCCCTAAACCCTAAAACCCTTAAACCCTAAACCAATAACCCTAAACCCCTAAACCCTGAAACCCCTAAACCAATAAACCCTAAACCCCCAAACCCTTAAACCCTAAACCCTAAACCCTAAACCCTTAACCCTTAAACCCTAAACCCTGAGTCTTTTTTTGGCGTTTGCTTGTTTGAGAGGAGCTCCTGGAATCTGGCACTGTTGGCCATTGGCAAGCTAGTGGTAGAGTTTAGGGGTTAGAGTTTAGGGGTTAGGGGTTTAGAGATGAGGGTTAGAGTTCAAAGTTAGCCTAGTTCATGGTGGAGTTTGAAGTGCCAAGTTCGATAACTCTGCGGCGGACAGTTTCCAGTATGGAGAGATTGTTTGGAAACAGGCTGCATCTGGGGACTAGGGCTTGGGTTTAGGGTTTAGGGTTCTGCTCCTTCTTAAGCACCCTCCCACAACCTGCAGGCTAAGTCTGCAGTAGGGGCAGTTGAGAGTCGGCTTTCGCAGCAGCGAGGCGCGGCCGTGAGGAATCCTCTTTGAAGAAGTAGGTTCGTGCTAAGCACAATCGCAACCAAAGCAATCGGGGAGTTCCCAAAATTAGGGTCCCATTCTGTTACCCGTAGATATTAGGTGCCGTAATACATTCCATAACTAAAAGGGCCCATAAGTTTGGGAATATCCGAATTTCTCTCATGAAGCTAAGACAGTCAGATGAAAAGATGAGAGCTTTCTGCTATAGTTCGAGGCTACTACCAGGACATGTGATTCTTCGACTCGACAGGCTTTTACCTGGAGTTCTACGAACCCCAAGACACAAATTCCCAGCCCTCAAGCCCCACGGATCGACCCATAAGAGTATAAACACCTAACCTGGATGCTGTGCCTGTTTTCCGCGACTCTGGGAACCTTCAAAGGTAGTTGTAGGTTATAGACTAAGGATATGAGGGTCCCAGGACATGCGGCCCAAAGAATCTGCATCTTGTTGTTGCGGTTTAGGGTCCACTCAGGGCTTGTAAGCCCCCACCCCAAACCTATGACGTAGCAACCCATCTGCGATTCCTGTAGCGATGGACCTGCTAGAAACAGGCTCAGGACAGGCTTACTGGTTGTGAGTAGGGGAACAATATGTGTATATATACATGTATATATATATATATATTCATTTAGAGACAGATACATAGAGATTATATAGGGATTGTAGTCCCATATTCGCTGCTAACAACCATTAAGAAGGAAAACGCTCCAAGTATACTGGAATCCCAAGGCATTCAAGGATGCGGATGGCGCCTCGCCTGCAGCAGTATTGCAGTGGAAAATTGTAACCGCTTCCCAGGGGTATAGGGTTTAGGGTTTGGGGTATTTGGGGTTTAGGGTTTAGGGTTTGGGGTGGTAGACGCGTGCAAAATGATGAACAGTTTCCAGATGATAGCATAATGTCATGCCGGGAGTAGAATGAAGTCTTACTGGGGACTAGTAGAGAATAAGCGAAAACCATATGTAGGGATTCTGTAGGGCTTTTGTTCCCTTGTTCCCTACTAACCCTAAACTCTAAACATACATTTCCAAATTCCCTAATAAGCTCCAACAAGAAGAAGAGCGAGGGCTTTTATTGTAAATGGGAAGGGATCAAATAACCTCACCTGGCCTCACTCCCTAGGAAGTCCAATATCCCTACAGTAGGCAACATACCCTACATGATACTGGACTTTGGGGCTTTGGGGATCTATGATTTACGGTCTATTCCCTACTTAAGGGATATTCGGCTTTCTGGGTGGCAACGGTGGCAGTTCGAGCATGGCCTCACTGCAGGATCTTCCAAGGATCCCCCAGCAGGCCCTCCATTCCCAACCGGAACCCTGGATCCGAAACCGGAATCTCATGGACAACTGTTTCTAACGAGTTCGTCGTTGGATTTTGTCAGATTAACAAGGCGTCAAGCGCAGTTTGTTTGAGAAATTGCCCTCGTAGTCCCTATTTGAGTATTGCCTAACATTACAAAGTCCACCCTTCTCCCTGCAACTTTGGCGCAGAATCATATGCTGGTTTTCTAAGACCTGCAAACTGGACTTAACTCTGGTTCATCTTCGTTTCTGAATTTTGAATCTACTCCCCAACCTACCGAACCTGTTCCTGCAAACCATGGCGTCTGAAGCCTGCCTACCACTCTGTCTCCACCCTATCGAGGAGATCTCAAGATCCCACGTAAGGGTTTAGGGGTGTAGGGTGAAGTGTTTATGGTTTAAAGGGTTTAGGGTCTAGGGTTTAGGGTTGGAGACGCGATATGTACTGCGGCATGGTTAATGGTTTTTGCGAACTTGATATGGGGGTTTCCCAAATTAGGCGTACCTTTTTGGGGGTCCCTATAATAAGCATTATAGTAGTTTGGGGTCTATATTGGAGTTCATTATTTTGGGCAACTACCATATGATCCTTAGAACAGGCCCTTCATGAAACGTTTATCGCCCTGCATACCCGGGTCCATCTTGTTACATGGTATTCTTCTGTGCCAAGCGCTAAACCTCACACCCCAAACTCCACAATCCCTGGTTGCAGTCCTCAGCTCCTGGAAAGCCTGGACGCCAAACCGACCCAACCGAGTTTCAATGGCTCAGGCAGCCGCCGTTCAACATCATCGCCGCTTTCCGCAGATTTGCAGAAGCTCGGCGGAATGCCCTTCTGGCTCAGCAAGTTACGTGCCAGGCGGGTGTGTCAAAATGGGGTCATCCCCTAAGACGTCCCCACCAAGTTTTGGAGGGGGGTTGTTGCAGAAAAAGCACGTTGTTGTCTGTCATTGTTATTGGAGCCATCAAAGGTGGCCCTTACAGTAATTATTGGAAGCACCCGTGTGGGCTTTCATATTAGTTTGCGGGAGGGTAGGGCACTGGGGTCTTTTACAGAAGCTTAGGGTCCTGTGGTGGGGTTTAGGGTTTAGGGTTTAGGGTGGTAGTTTCCTCCATATAAACCAGTTGTTCCCCCTTATATACACCCTCCATGATGTAGACCCCTGATTAATAAACCCCCTCCCCTTAATAGGGATTATTATCCTAATATTCAGGCCCTTAAAAGGAGGGGGTTGATTTATCATGTGTCTACATTGAGGGTACCCACCTGGTAACTCCCGACCTACCGGTTCCGTTAATGTACAGTATGGAGGGTAGCGGGAAGAGATCGCGTGGCAGCCCTTATCCCTATAGTCCCCCTTGAGTAGATAGAATATGGGGTATATGGGGATCTTATTATAATATACCCAGCCATAGTCTATCTACTTCAGGGGGACTATACCCCTAAACCTGAACCCTAATCCCTAAACCCTAAGTAGTAGTGTCCATTTTCTTTTCCATTATCCCATTGTAGCCCTAATATTGTATCTACTTCAGGGGGACTATAAACCCTAAACCCTTGAAGTGAACATGTACTAGCATGCATGCATTCTGTATATGTGTGGATCCATTGAGCCGGCGATGCCAAGGCACTCTTTATGGGTTGAGGGTTTAGGGGTTTCTCAAATTGTAGGCTTTGGCTGAAATCAGGAAGAAGGCCTTCTCACTCGTGAAGGCTGATGGAGGCATTTCAGATTCTTCACACTCAGCACGTGCCCTACTTCATTGTCAGGGCCAGGAACCTGCCCTAACACCTCCCTATTTTTAACTTTTAACATCCCTGCACGCTACACCCTACCCCGTACGCCCTAATCTATATGCCCTAAACCCAAAACCACACACCCCCAAACCCCAAACCCTGAATGCCCCTTTACATCCGCAGAGAATTTAAAATTCATCTGCACTAAATAAATAACCTTATATGTCCCCATATCCATGAATGTCCTTACAGCCAGTTTAAAGGGCCGTTCCCTAAACCCTGAACTGAAAACCCTAAACCCCGTGCCCAGGAAGTCTGCAGCGCTGCTTCAGTGGGTTCGCGGCAAGCTTCGGCCTGCGTCTTAGTGAGATGCCGGTTTTGGTGTCATCTTTTTGGACAGTCATGTGAGCTACTGTCAATATTTGCTTTACCAAGGGGCCCTTAAGGGTGGACATAGGGACCCTCTTGTAGTTTAGTATAGCCCCTGATATAGCCCCTAATAAGGAACCCATGTCCAGGTAGAAAATATTGACTGTAGCTCATGTAGGTTTTAGGGTTTAGGGTACTATTTGAGATGCTATGGGTAGTTATATTTGAGTGTATGGATAAGCGAAGGCTATGCAATACTGGAGATATTATGTCAAACTTGGGGTCGTTACATTTTCGTGTACAGATAAGTTAAAGTCAGTCGATAATTGGAACATTACGGGTGGTCATAATTTAGTCTATAGTTGGGAGGTTATAGGGTCTAAGCAGGTCCATAACCCTAAGGGTCCAAGTACCCAATAATCATATACTTACCCAAAACCTATACTATAATTATTATTACCAATATCCCAAGTACCTAAATATTGGGTACATGGACCCTTAGGGTAAGCTGGGTGTAGGAGTTGAGGGTTTAGTGTCTGGGATTAAGCCGCCGGGTATGGAGGACTCGTCGAGGGTTTGCTGGTTATGGAGCCTTGTACATGATTGACCCCCTTTGCGAGGAATCAGAAGCTTCTTAGGGTAAGTAGGGTTTAGCCATGGATACTTGGTGGGTGTAGTGAACGTATATTTGGTTCCTTAGAAATCTTCGTGCCTGCAAATGTAGGGTGTCAAATTGGGGAGACACCCTGTGACCAAGACTCTTGTCCGTCTGTACTGTATATAAAAACATGGGTCAACTTAAGTTATGGGAAGCCTCGAATTTCCAGGGCTTGGGTTGGTTAAATGACTGGTATATCCTAAGGGTCCAAGTACCCAATAATCATATACTTACCCAAAGCCTATACTATAATTACTATTACCAATATCCCAAGTACCTAAATATTGGGTACATGGACCCTTAGGGACATATTCTTGCAAGTTATGGGGGCCATATTAGGATATATGCGCATAAGGGCTCACATTCAAGATTTAAACCCTTTAGCCTACTCCTGGGCCATCCCTGTAAACCCTTTGCCCAAAACGCCTGGGGTCGGATCGTGGAGCGTTCAAGTCACAACTCCGCTCCTGCATTTCCTTGTCCCTTTCTTTGAAGGGGTAAGGCTTGGGTTTCGGACCTTTGACGTAGCGTGTGCTCCCCCCCGGTCTTGCCCCTAAAAGGTTTCCCCAATATAGCCCTAATATAGCCCGTTTATGAGCCAATGTCGGCCCCTAGAGTCCCATAAACAGATCCCCAAACCCAGGATTACAAGCGGGCAAGCCAGAGACCCTTGGGAAGCAATGTTTGCCCTGATATTCCTAATACATTTTAGTAAGAAAGCCCTGTTTGCGGGACCCTCTCTGAAGCCTAGAGTTAGTAGATCCCTGCTAATTACTACGTTCCTAGAAATGCCCCGAAGGGTCCAAGTACCCAATAATGATATACTTACCCAAAACCTATACTACAATTACTATTACCCAAATCCCAAGTACCGAAATATTGGGTACATGGACCCTTAGGGTACAGAACAGGTTGAGGCTTGATTAGGGTATAGGGTCCCCCAGATCTAAGTTGCAAGTTTAGGGTTTAGGTTTAAGGGCTTAAGTTCCTAGAGCCCGAAATTACCTGGAGCCTTATTGTCTTAGGGTCTGTTTTGTTTCTTTAAATCGGGTAGGTTTTTGGCCCCAAAATGCCTCTGCCTTTAAACTTGTCTTTGCTCCCCAATTCGGGCCAGGAAATCTTTAAATCAATGGTGTTTTATTCATCAGGAGCATGGAGTGAACCCTGTAGAGGCCTCTATGTTGGGGCCTAAATAATTGGGAGGGTCTAGGGTTCAGGGAAGAATGGAGAATCAAATGGAAAAACAATGGAAAATGACATGGAATCTGGTGCTAGACAAGGCTTTATAGGCATAGTTGTCCATATCTGGTCCTAGATTCCTTGTATAGTTGTAGTTCACGTTGCCTCCAATAGACGACAACATGATATTGGTAATAGTTTAAGCCTTGCAGTACACTCCTTTAAAGAGCTTACGTAATTTTTTACCGGACCTAATAGTACCCCTGTTTGAGACACGCAGACCCTTAACCGGAAGCAACGTTTATTGTTCATGGTAGAGGCATCGGGGTTGGGGGTTTGGGGTTTGGGGCTTAGGGACCTTTACCCCCAAATGCTCAATCATAAGCCTCAAACCCAAATCCCTAAAACTCTTGACCATAACAGCCACAAACCCTAAATCCCAACAGCACTAAACCCTATACCCTAAACCCAAATCCCAAAAGCACCCAAGATCTAATGCAGCAAGCCCCAAAATTGAATGGCAGCTCAGGAGTCCGAAGAAAACAGCTATCATAATCCGGAACCGTTCTTGTTTTCACCGGTTTCTATGACGTTCTTATCCTACAGAGCCCCAGTAGACATATACATACGTATCTATATATATATATGCTGACCATATTATATATATATATATAATTTAGGAGGACCCCCCACCCTGTAATGGTGCTATAATAGGAATATAAGAGGACCCTAATATAATCCTTATGATCCCCTATAGTCACTATTACAGGGTGGGGGGTCCACCTAATATGTAATGGTGATGGCTTAATATTATATATATATATATGCTGAAACCCTAAACCCTAAACCCTAAAGCCTAACCTAAACCCTAAACCCATATATATATATATACTAATAGTGGTGATGGCTTAATTCAAGCTAAACACTCGGAGGCCGGAGCTGCCGGCGTGGACGGGCTGCCGCCCGCTGTTGTGGGAGACGGCTGGCTCGGGGGAAAAACTGCCTGGTTGGGGTCTAGGTTCTAAGTTTAGGGTTTAGGCTTTAAGGCTATTTGAGGTTAAGGGCTTAAGGCTTAGGGTTGTTAGTTTAGAGTTTGAGTACAGGGTTTCTAGGGTTTAGCGTTTAGGGTTATGATAGGGGCCGCCTAAAAAATCAACAATATCTTTTTGAGGTTTATTTGGGGTACCTTATACCTGAATTATACCAGGAATCTGTGTTCATGATATTGGTAAGTATTTCGACCTCTGTTTTAGGGTGTTGTAGTGTTTTGGAGGTACCGGATGCTGGGTTTTGAGTTTTAGGTGTAGGTCGTGAAGCTGAAGGCTTTAGCTTTTGGATTCGCTGTTTGGGGTCCTAATACACTCCCCCCAAAAAATAAAAGATCCTAAAGACACCCGAAAGACTACTTTCGCGTAATGAGAAGGCGCCAACTGAAGATCCGTGTTTGCCTGAGGAAGTTTCTGTTTTTCCCCTTCACCCTAATAACTGTTTAGGGTTTGCCTTTCCCAGCAGACTTTAGCCCCTAAACCCTAAACCTTTTATTTATAGGGCTTGTTTAGTCTATGATGCACATGCTGCCGAGGTCTCCTTCTTTTCGTGGACCTGGCAGACTACACTGTGGTCACGGCGCGGGCACCATTCGCAAAGGTTTAACCTCTTAGGGTTTAGGGTTTGAGGCTCAGGGTGTGAGGTCTGGGGGTTAGGTTTAGGGCTTAGGGTTTGGAGCTTCAGGTTTAGAGTTTCGGCTTACTGGTACGGGTTTAGGGTTCAAGCAATCACCATTCACAAACCTAAGCTGATTGGCTAGCTTGATCCAAGGTGGTAGCTGGCACCGTAAACCTTAAACTGTGTGGGCAGGATCTTCCAGTCTTTCCAGGCATCCGATTGCAGTTGAGAGTTAGGTTTAGGGTTGGGTTTTAAAGATTTGCACGTGCATCGCGAGGTGCCCCAGAGCAGCACACACCACCACAGCCCTCAAATCCAGTGTACTGTATATCCAAACACACTACTTAGGAGGGCAAGGGATTTTGTATTTATGTGAACGGGCGGCTTAAGCACAGAAAGGCAATCCCTTAACCCTAATGGCATTTGGCTGGCAGGGGTGGTCCAGGTTTTGGATGCTTCCTTCAGGGTAGCTGGTCTGTTTGCGGGCCACCAGGAGGGCGGTTTTCTGTGAAGTTGACATGAGGGCTTCCCAAAAATTAGGGTT